TGCTATAAATTCTTAGTCCAGTGAAAGTTTACAACTGAGTTAAATAATGTTTTTTCACTTGTACTGTTTGGGGGAGGGGACAGGACGGCAGGGGAGGGGGTATTTTACCTCTTGAGCATTTGCAGTAGTAGTACAGAATTCCCATGTCAATGGCACTGTGGCAGGAACCATATTCCCCACAATTATCGATGCATCCGTACAGACCAATGTCCAGAAGGACGTAAGCGGTGTCATTGCAAGGCACAACACTGCGGAAGAATGGAAGGACATGAAAATTGTACTGTGCTTACTGAAAGAGAAATGCACATTGTGTTTGAGAGTGCTCAAGGCGCAGCACCTCAGGGCAAAATGTGTGGTCCTCATGGAACCCCCTCCCCATCAACTTTGTGGTGCAGGTATTGGCAAACAACGCCTTACCCTGAACTACCACGCTGCACTCAGTTGGTAAAAAAAGGCAGTGTGAACCCCTTTGACGTTCGCAGTCAGGGCCGCATTCCACAGTGTTGCTTAACGGCCAATTCTGTACTAACGTAGCCTCTGTCTGTTTCTAAGAGACCATTATGCAACAAGACAGCAAAAGCAAGCTTTAAATCCACAAGGAAAAAGTTGCTTAAATTGCTTCCAAAACCGCTGATAAAGTTGAACAATCAGTTTGACTTGATCAGGAGAAATGTGAGAAAATTACTTACCCCGCCCCAGATTTACACCAAGACTCCAACGACAGATACCACACCCCTGGTGCAGGAAATGGTACGATCCAGGGAAACGCAGCATCGGCAGAATGACTGTTGAATGTCAAGCTATCCTCTGGATCACAGGATATATTTGTCCCATTGAGGGGTGGTATGCCACCTTGTCTCAGACACAGGGTGACAAAAGCCTGCCCCGGGAGGTCCTGTAAACCAACCAATTCAAAAAGAATTCTTATGGGCGTTTACACCAGCAATTTAAGGAAACTTAAATGATTAATTTGTGGATGTGGGGAATATCAGTCAGGGTTTGACTCTCCATTGTGGGGTAAATGGTAAGGGGCTCAATTCAGTTGGCTTTCTGGCGGGTTCTAGGGCAATTCATCTTCTCCCCAAACTTGTGTCTCTCCACCATGGAGTATACAAAGGTGTGGCCTGAGGAACAGGGGTAGTAACTGCCATGGCGTCTTGAGTGGCACAGTTAGCTACGCATGCTGTCTAAATAGTTATTACTGACTTCTTACATTTCATTGTTAAGGGGCAAAAAAATCTGTAAATGGTGAAATTCAATATAAGGTGTGCTTGCTTCAGAGCTTTTAATCCCAGTTATGATCAGCAGGGGTGGCCATGTATGTACAATATCTATGCCACTTCATTGCACGGAAGTCCATGGCTAGCACTCATGCAGGACAGGAAGCTGGGCAAAGGTGTAAAAATCTAAGGCACCTTCTTGTTGGCGACGTCAGCCTTGATCACTAAGTTGCCTCCGATGTCCTGGGGGAGGTCCAGCTCAAACTTCACGACCACCGGTGTGTCTGGGGACACCGGCAACCCGTCAGTGGCGTTGGGGGTGTTCCAGATGAACTTCTTGAAGGGACTGGCGCCCCCGAGCTGCGCCGAGGACAGGGGCAGCACGGGGGGACACCAGTTGGACAAGACGGGAGGAGGGTGGGGGGACAGAGGGGAGAGGTAGAGTCCCCTCGTGAACGACGCCGGAGGGTAGGATTCGGGTTCCGATTCTTTCTCTTCTAAGGCAGGGTGCAGGAAGGCAGAGCCGTTATCAGAAGGATTCACCGGCGAATAAATGAGACTGGCATTTGAGTTCAACACCAAAGTCCGCAATTCCATGTCCTCGGAGGAAACAGGAAAAACCTGGATGTTTTCTTCCATGCATTCTGCAAACAGAAGACAGAGAATCCTCATATTCCACAAAGAAATAAAAAAACAATGCATTCAGATTTTGCCATATTGCCGGTAGAGAGAACCTGCCAATGGGATTAAATTTCAAAGGTTTAATAATCATTCCCTTTCCAAGACTTTTCCTATATTTTGTGATGAATTTCCATGGGCCCTGTGACTGACCTCAACTGAAACCCCAGTAAAAACAAATTGCTTGAAGATATTTAACCACTTAGCGCCGGGTGACCCCATATGGGCCACATTTTTCGGATCCACACAGCCGGGCGGCCTCATGTGGGGACCAGACTGACTGCTATGAGTCACCATAGGCTGTAATCCTCCTATTGTGAAGTACAATAGCATGAAGTACCGCAGCATTCAAGGCCAGCCTGGCCGACGAACGCGTCGCCCAGCCCGCCCATTGTTTGTCGTTCCTGGCAGGGCTGAGGGCGAATAAAGACGAAATAAAGTAACACCATAATAAATATAACAATGGCGGTTTTTTTAAAGCACCCAGCCACACTTCATTGCCTTCTGACTCCCTTTACATGACATGCATTGCTTGGGTGATTTTTTCCTATAAAAGTATGGTGAATACAAATGTCAAAATCATTAAAAAGCGCCTGGCAGCCTGTAATTCAAGAGAATTTTTTACCCGGCATGAAGTGGTTAATTTCTCAATAAGTACCCAATTCTTATGGGTTAACAATTCAAAACTATTGCTTTCATAAGTTTCAGTTTCAACAACAATGGACCATTTACAGTCCATTTCTGAGTTTTATACCACACCCGAATAACTCGTTGTCACCTGATTGAAGGATCATCCATCAAACGCAGTTGACTTCTTCAGTATATTCAACAGTGCAACAGTTCAATATACCCCAGTCAATGTGCCTTTAACCCTAACAGTCCTGAATGCTATAAAGTACTACTTAGTAGTAAAATGTAGTACTCAGCCCCGTCGCTTGTAAGAGGACATGACATTATTATTCTCTGAAGCCATAAAATACAATAGAGAAGACAATGTACCATACAATGCTGTGGCACTATGAATGCATAGTTTCATTGTTCTCTGTACGAATAACAATGGAATAAACCGAGCCAGAAATAGTAATTTGTAGCGCTAGGTCCTTCAGGCTCAGAGTGTTACTTGGTATTTTGTAGTACTGAGTACTCTAAGCCAAACAACGCCCGGTACTGTTAATGTTGAACTAGGCGTGCAGTAGGCAGTGGTGGCTCTTTACACATGCACAGTATGCTGTAAAACACCCGTGAAAGGAAGAAGCAACGCACTTAGACATTTCAGCCGCAGCTCAGTATGTGAAAACTACATGTAACACTTTCATGCCAAGCTGAGAGAGTAAAACCGTGATTTGTACACAAAGAGGACATATTCAGGCTGCAGCATGGTATAAACTAATACTAAATATTGAACATTTGAGCAATGGAAAGAATAATCTTTATTCAGTAGCAGATTGTATGTTTGCCCATTGGTAACATTTAATCTGTTCCCTTACAAAGTTACTTTTACTTCTGCACTCATAAATATTCGTTATTTGTAAAATACTGTCCCCTTTTAATAAGCAAATGACTTACTTTGTGTTTCCACCCCTAAACTCAAATTGGCTGAAGTCGGTTCATCCAGCGATGACAAATCAAGACGGACGTAGTACCAAGTGTCTGCCAACGGTTCCCCAAACTGCACTGAACACGACGTGTTGGATTTGCAGAGGACCGGCGGGGTCCTCACACTGGGCAGAGCACCGGGCCCAACTCTTAAGGCCACAGGGCAGGGGTCGCTGACCTCAGTTTGATTGAACTCTGACCCGACTTGACAGTTTTGGTAGGAGAAAGTCAGGTATTTGGTCAAGGGTGAAACGTAGAACCTACAGGAAAAGACAGGACAAAGAAAATCTGACTGATCAATTCACAACTGAGGATACAAAGCAAATGCAGGACCTGTTAGTGGTGTGAATCAAAGATCATATAGCGCCGAAGGCGCAAGATGGATAACTCTGCCCAAAAGATGTCATTACCATGGGCGCCATTTGAGCAAGCGATACGCCTGCGCAGTTTAGAGTAATGCTTGGGCACAGGCTCACCAGGTGCACGTGGCTGCTGCGGCGCCTGCGCCTGTGCATAAATGTGCATTGCGCAGGCATATCGCTTGCTCAAATGGCGCCAAAGCGATTACAATGTTTTACGTGTATTCACGGTGAAGTTCGCCATCTTGTGCCGCTTCGCTTCGATCGTTGGTTTGAATAATTGATAACTTTCACAGTAAGGCATTGTAACTTACTATGATTCATTGGGTCATAGCAACATGAGACTTATCTTTTCAGATACACTTTTAAGACAAAACAACAAATTAAACAAGTTTGAAATTCAGTAATGAGGTAAATTAAGTGAGACCAACATTCATAAGGCCAAACAAACAATTAGTTAATAACAATAATCTGGGGTGGTTGGTTGGGTAAAATATTTTTCTTTTACTCTAAATTTTTATAGTCCAAAAAATTAGGGTCGAATGATGGTCTGTATTGGGGGGGGTGCGTATATTTGTAACAGGTACCAGTACTAAGTCAGTGTCAGATTAATACTGTACATGTGTGCGTCAATATTACACATTAGCACTGTGATTGAGTAGTAAAGCAGCTGATTGTTGAAATACAAACACACAAGAGCCGTCCATCTCGTGCAAAAAAAATTAAAACAATAAAATGTACAGGACGATGTATACAAATTAGGCTCGGGGCAAGGCGCCATAAGTTTTTATATTCTGATTTGTCAAATAAAAAGATATAGGTTCCGCATGATTTCTAGGTTGGGTCAGGTAACCAGATACACAGCAATTTTTTGGTCTTTTAAGGTAAGATAAGCCTGTGCAGTGTGCATTACCACTTTGTAACAAAAATCTAATCACTTAAATTTCTAATTATAGCTTATGGACTATAATGATGAAACACTATGATCAGGGTTTCATGAGAGCAGGCAACTGCGTTGTTAGACCCAAATCTTCAAATGGGTGAGACATGGTCTATGGGAGTACATGTGTGTACAATCGGGACACGAATACACAATATTTTTTTCGGGATTTACCGGTACACCCACCTGTACATAGCTGTTGTATAATTTGTTTCTGTCGCCAGTTCTACAGTTGTTCTGGTTTGCGTGCTAAGAGATTTAATATCCTCCGCCTGCCAGTAAGCCACGCCCATCTGGATGAAGTACCGACAGGTGTGACCCCCTAGGCCCTGCACGTGACACAGACAAAACACACCGTGCATTCTTAATCAGGATTCCGGGCTGTTTTCCAGCAATGGATAAAGTCTGCCTAGCCATCCAAAAATGTCTGAGGCTGCCTCTGGTGCTTATTTTTGGGTCTGGAAAGAAATACCCCCCCCCCCGAGGGAAGTCACCAGCTAGTCCCTTCGGCCTCTTCCCATAAATAATTCCTCAATACCGGTGATTTGCAATGCAGTGAGCCGTAAACAGGCTGCCATGGAAAGGCCTTTTTTCAGTGCATTGTGGGTAATGGTTAACAAATTTTCCTTGCTGGCTGTATCCCCGATGTCTGTTTGTCAGAGAAAAAGATGCGTAGGTGTATTTGGAGTGGCAGTTTTAATTAATCCTTTCTTCTTTCTATCGCATGGAATGTCCCAATATATCAAAAATGTCATTTGTCCACTGACATGCACTGTTCAAAATGCAAATTTGTTGATGTGCGACCAACTTCCCATGGCAAACATATGTACTAAAGAACTCCTCCAAAATGTCATACCAATTTAACACAAACTAAGATGCCAAAATGAAGTTTGAGTATGAACCGGAAGTTTTAGATTACATCCCTGTTTCCTGCACTCCCCCATAACACAAAACAACTGTCATTCTAAAGTATCTGGTATTCCCAAACCAGCTTTTGAAAAGGACATCACTTTAACTGTGAATAGAAGTTTACATTAGCATAGAAATAAAAAAAAAAATCAATACTACACACTGGTGCACATATCCACACTATTGCCAGGATGTTAAAGCTGCAATGAGAATTTGTGCAGAGTACCAGCTCAACCATGATACCTCATACACATCCACACTCTGAACCTGTGTACAAACATTTAAATGGCAAACCAGTGCCTGCAATGTACATAGACGTACATTATTTTCCGTTAGACTACAAGATGCATGATGTACCACACAGTAAGCCAGCATTCTCAATGTTTTTAACATGAAACAGTTTAGAACAAAAATGTGATCTCCTTATAAAGCTCTGGTAAATGCAATAAGTACGTGTAACTAACACAATTTTTGTTTAATTCAACCAAAAAAGCCAGATCTTAATTCTACAGAATTTCTGATGGGGCTTGGAATTACAAATTGTATAAAAACCCAACAAACCACGGTACCAAAAAAGCCTACAGTCCACGGCAATGAAATAGAGTTTACACGACCAATCTCAAGTATGCCCACAACACGTTCAATGCCGTGCTAAGAACAGTCCATGGAGAGAGTGGAATTTGACCCTGTTTGATTTGCCGTGTCTATCGCCGCTAGGCGTGGCATCGAACTTGTGCAAACATTGAACCAACAATACACACATTAGGATTTGAAGAGGCTGTGGTTCTGCAGTAGATGTACATATGTGGCCTTCCCTTTGTTTTCCATGAAAAGCCAAACTGGGGCAAAAAAATTAATCAGACCTTTCATATGGACATAAAAAGCATCATATAAATGACAAGCACAATCAGCAACCAGACTTACATGTTGGGAAAACGATACCCAAACAATGATTTCACCATATTATCGCAGCAAGTACCAGTAATAATCTGCTTTATGTATGTATTCAAATGCAATGTATTTTCAGTTATTACTAATGTCACCTTTTTAATCAGTATTTGTATTGTAAAGGTTTTTTCTATTTTGAATATTCAGCGGTGAAAGATCAGTGAAGCAAAAAGGGAAATAATTCCATTATCAGTTGCGACCTTATTTTGTTGTTTTACAGGTGCGCCTAAAGGAAAATGATGCATATGTTCAACAGTGAGGCCTGAAAGTTAGTCTTCCTTCCAGTTTTTCTTCTAGTTTTTGAGGTGAATGATCTTACTGTGACTAAGGGAATAAACCACCAATCAGCCTGCTCCTTTCAGTAGGGGATGAATGCATCCTCAAACCCAGCAAGGTAAACCACCACACAAACACGTACATTTTGTTTTACTTTTGAGGGAATTTGGTACAAAAAGTCAACCATCTGATCTAACAGGAGGCCAATTAGTCGATTGGTTCAATTATTTGAATCAACTCAGCTAATACATGTACTTAGCATTTCTGCACACCTTCCAATGACACCGTATCACAAGAAAACAACTGTAAATGTGATCCAAAGAAACAGAATTCTTTTCTTTTGGGGGCGGGGGGCGGGGGGTGGGGGGCGGGGGAGTGGATTTGGATATGCCATACCTGCTGTTCTATTTTGTTGTTATCACCCCTGGGTAAAAACGCCACAAGGTACCAATCACCAGCCGTCGGAGTCCAAAAGGTGATGCGGACAGGTTGGGCAGACGACATGGTGAACAAGTTGAGATTACGCTGGCTCTGGGTGTTGATGTGGGGAGGAAAACTAGTGTTGTAGGGGTTGGTTACAGGTAGGCTCCCTGGCTGCAATGCTCTGAAAACAAACGAATAGAGAATAACCAAGTAAATAAAGTGACATGAACAATTACATTTAAATCAAAAGAGCAGTTCCACATTTAGGCTTGAAATATGTTTGAAAAGCAACAAAACTATTTTTCCTGTGTTGAAGAACTTCTTTCCAAAATAAAATTCTTTCTTGGTGAATTTTTACAATTTTGAAAATCATGCATAAGCTGCGTTGTTAACCTTTCTTCGTCCCCTCCCGTACATGTATCATTTATACACTCGGTAAAGTGGGGTTTTTTTTTAGGTTTTTTAAATGTATTTTTGGTTTTCAAATTTAAGATCCCTCACTGCCAGGCTCCTACAACAAATTTTGTATCTTCACAACACTTACAGGTGAACAGAAGTCTTGGGACATTCTAATGTGTCCTTCAGCACACTGATGTCCCAATTGGCTGTAGTACAGTGTGGAGGCATGACAACATGAAACAGAGTCACATCGCCAAACGACCCGTACGCCTTCAAACGGAACGTACCAAACAGCTGCTCTCCATAGCCAGGTTCTGCAATCACATACATGCGATTTATGGGACATTAAATTTGGACCTGGTATCTAGACCAACCCACCCCCTCCCCAAAGTCTCCCCCCACTGCAGAAGACCCACCCACTTTTTAACTGTCCCAAGAAAACAGATCACAGACTGATGGCCAACCAACTGAATTGTGAGGGAACTATAGGTTCAGAATGTACAAACAGTAGTAGCACGATAACTCAGCAGAGGGACCACACTGTTGTCCTTGAATGATGTACCTTCAAAATAGCCCCATAAATGGGGCCCAGATACTGGACTACCTTGGTCATGTCGGTATCTTGAGCCCTACAGTTGTGTCTTGAAGCATCAACAGGGAAGTCAGTATTGTTATTGCTCACACACATATCAGACTAGCTAACAAAAATATCCCTGAAACTAGAGTTTCATATACAGACAGTGATTTCTTCAGAAAACAAACACGTCCGGAAAAGTTCAATTAAGAAGAGAAAAAACACACACGGCTAAAGCAAAGACTGACGTGACGATAGCCGGGGGGCCCAGTTGCGCATTACGCCTAACTGTGGGGTCCAACGTCTGCCTCGCTCCCACGAACGGGGCCGGGCGGACATCGGACCCCAGTTCTGGGGGGTAGTTGCGCATCAGTAAAGCACAGCCACAACCTACACACACACAAGGCCGATAGAGAAAACATGATTAAGGAAACCAACAGTTACTTACGTCCATTTATGACATAAAACAATGGCAACAGAATAGTGGCACGAATTAATGACGACAGAAGAGATTGGGTTGACATCGTTACTAAAATGGACAATTCACAAGTATATCTCCTCTGTTTCCGTGTGTATACTGACCGCGCCGCCAGCCTGCAATGCGCCCGACTCATGTGCGTGCTAAAAACAGCGGCTGGAGTTGCGGCTAGCTGCACATGTATGGCTACGACTGGTGGTAACACGCGTCTACACGTACATGTAGGCGCAGTCGCTTTTCACTGGCTTCCGTCGAAACACGCGTTTCCGTCAGCCGTTGCCAATACTTTGGACGCAGGCGGGGTCGTCACGAAGGCCGTTTTCCAATACTCGACTGAGGTCCGTCTCAGGCTTCAACTGTTTTTACTTCTTGATTTTGAGGTCAAAAGCCCAATAGTAAGTCTGATAGTGCCACAAAACATGAATTAAGATGCAAAAGAGCCTACAGTATTTCAATTTAAAAATTAAACGCTTCAGGCCCACAATCGAGGATTGGTTTCTTACACGAAGCCAGGTCTGAGACGAAGACGAAGTTGAGTATGGAAAACAGCTGAATTTTATGCCAATTGGTGGCGCTGTTACTTATGCAAGCAGTAATTTTCGCATCTAGTTGCTGTCGATAACTGATGAGTCATCCGCATAGTCCATTTCATCTAAGGAAAGATAAAGATATTATTGATTGCAAGCATGGGGAAATGTTCTTTATCAAAATGACATTTCAAATTCACGTAGGACACAACTTAAAAGTAGTAATCTGTAATTCATTATCAAGTCAATATTTTCAAAATTACTCATTTCTGTCTTTATAAATGAAATTGCACACAAATGTACTTTTTCGATCCCTACTTTCAAGAATGAATCTTACCAACGCCCCACTCGCATGGTAATTCGTATGTGAAAAATTGTCACTTCATAATCAACCTACATATCACCACAACAGTGTTCCGTGCGGAGAACTGCTGAGTGAAACCTCACCGACTAGTTTTCCGATTAATTGTCTGAGAGCCTTTCCCCTTGTTTCCCGTGTACATTGGATGTTATGAACGACAATATGGAGACCGTTCTACCACTTTTAACTCCGGAACCTTGGAGTTTTGGGGAACTTTTTGAAGCATTTCGACAGGTAGGGCTGGGCCGGCAGGGTGGTCATGCATGGTGATGTGGTCACCGTGACCATCTTTGTACCGGACATTCGGACGCACTCACTTGAACGCGCGTACTGGCCAAAGCCATGACAGCCAGCACGTCCGGCCGGTTGTCTGACTCTAGCGTAGCGTAGACTGACATTGCCACACAGTGTTGATTGGCTCTATATGGCTGTTGTCACACAGTTTGTCAATAAATCTATCATTAATACTAGCCAATTCGCAGTTGTGGAAGGTTATTTCTATACTATCTCAGCTTAAAAATTAGGCAGTGGATATTTATTTAGCTGGTGACGGCAAAAGTTCCGAAAGGATATTTGGCCGGGATGTGTTTTCATTGGCCAATTCTCATTATGTCATCAGACTATGACATTTTACTCTGTCTGGCTCTGCAACTTCATTAACGTACGGTAGGGGGCGGAAATCAGACCTATGAAATTTCGAACTTTATTTCCCTTTAAAAAATCCTCTAAAACCACAAAATATAGAAAGAAAGGGATGTAAACTTAATTAAATTTCAGATTTGTATTACTTTAAAAAATACTGAGTGCTTTGAAACAGAAATAAAAAAAAAAGAAAAAACTCTCCATTGGGGTTTGAACCCAGAACCTCACGCTCACGCAAGCCTGTAAGTATGAACTTATATTTGACATGTGTCGCCCTAATGTATTACATTGAGTTTGAAGATCTTTGGTTAATTCTGATATTCAGCTGTATCTGCAATTCTCTTACTTTTTTATTCTGTACCCAGCCTTGTAATTACAGCCATATATAGCTATTATTGTGAAAAATAAGGAACCAGGCTATGAACAAGCATTTGCTTTTTGCCCGGTATCCACCATCCATCACCCCTTATTTCATTCTGTAAATACAAGTAGCTGCGATGCATGGAATTAAAAAAAACCAAACCAAACTGCATCCATTGTTCATGGTTGTTCTTTAGGCCCCGATGTACCACCTCATCTTTGAAGGTCTCCTAATACTTTTCATCATCCGCTTGCTGTTCTCCAAGAGATACTCCATCCAGTCCAAGATAGTCCTGACTGAAAAGGTATGCCAGATGAGTTCAAGTTGCGCTTAAGTCTGGGTTCACATCGGTACAGTCTTTGTGCCCATTTTGAAAAGAGAGATCGAGGGACTTGAAACATATTTATATTATGTGATTTGAAGTGATAAACTTGGGGTGAAAGACATGAATAATTTGAGGGAGAGAAAACGCACTAAGCCTATGAAAGCAGAGGTTTGGCCAAACTGAAGCAGGACAGAGCTGCCCAGTATCTCGAAGATTTCAGGAGCATTACGAGCCTAATTATCAGGGGGAGGGTGAGTCAGCAGCATTCTCAGAAGGCTTGTCAAAGGGCACAGTTTGTGCCATCAAAGGCATAGTACCAGCTGTTGATAGTTGTGTGGAAAAAACTTGTGTGCAGTAGAACTCTAAGCTCAGTGGGAGGGGTCATTTGATTCCCCCAGCCCCCTTCTGTTCCTCCTTCCTTCCCTCTTCACTCTTTAAACTAACTTAGACCCTCCCCCCAGAAGAGCTTGGCTGCATCAGTGCTCAGACTAAGGTGTTAGTTTATATTGTTTTTATTTTTCCATCTTTCATGTTTCAAACTTCTTCACTTCAGGAGAAGGATCAGTTAATTGAAGAGTGGACACCAGAACCATTGGTTCCCAAGCTGCCAGATGACTATGAGCCCATCAAGTATAGGGTAGTCACACAGTAAGTATGACGTGTCGAGACAGCAAGACAGCGTTGGTCATTTCTTGATCATTCTCCTCTGTGGCCTAGGTTCTAATCCTGCCCTGACAGTGAATATTTCCGGTGCAGTTCTTCTTGCGGCTGGTTTGTGTTGAAAAATAATTATTTACCCCAGTGCTGTGCTAGCTTCAGAGGAATCGTCTGTTTTGCAATGAAATGTAGATTATTGTGTCAATGCGAATATTGATAAAAGAAAAAAAGTGTGATCATTTGATTATCACTCGCTATTAATAGATATGACATCACTTAAGATGATTGCTGAATCAAAGCAAACACCAGGAGTCCTGCTTCAACAAGTATTTTTTTCCTTTCCAATGGGTTGTCAGTGTTCCAAAGGGTTTTTAGTCAGCTTCTCAAAGGATTGAGGACTGTTAGGGTTAATCTGGAAATGCGATGACTTGCAAATTAAATAACAGAGGTAAAACACTAATCCAGCTTCCAAGATTACATGGCTTAATAAAGGAAGTTGTTACCAGAGAATGGGTGAACACAATCTGGTTATCTGTATATGCAGGCATGGCTGACTGGTTCAAACCTCAAAGTGTACCTAGACTCACCTCCAGCTTTTGTCTAAACATGCTAACCCTCATTTTGTTCTGTTCGCACACAAAGTCTGAAGAGTCTGGGAGGGCTAACTGTATTGATTTTGATACCCCCAACATTGAAAAGTGTGAGGTTGCAGGAATGAATATTGTACAAGAACTGTTCAGATGACTCTTGCAGTCAGTGTTTGTGAGGTTTGGTCGTACAGAGGAAATCGGTCCCTGTGCATTAGCTCTTCCAAAATTCTAAATTTTTAGCCCCCCCCAAAAAAAATTGTCAGCGAGTGTTAACACAAAATAACCAGCCCACTTTTTTGGTATTGGACAGGCAAGGTGGAAGCATGCTGACCGTGGACGGCAAACAAGGAATAAACTTGGGCACGTTTAATTTCCTAGGGATGCTGGGGCGGAAAGAGACAGAGGTAGGTTGCAAAGAGGACCAGTTTCTCTCAACCTCGTTAAAGTTTGACTTGTTGAAATTCTTTGGGATTTCCAGGTTTGTGTCTCAGGACAACTCATGTCAGGTTGGCATAGAATGGTTTATTCCGTGTCATTCAGCACCATCTCAGAATTGGACATCTGAACATTTTGTGTTAATAGTTGGCCTGTATGAGAAACCTCCAGAATGTCTCTTTAAATAACTGTTTGAAAATAACCGACTTAGTTCTTATATTTTACCAATGACAGGAGGCAGCAGTAAAGAGCCTTAAAAAATATGGTGTTGGAACTTGCGGCCCTCGGGGATTCTATGGAACAGTGGGTAAGATCATCTCTGAACGAGTCAACCTAGGCAATCTTGCAGCTCATGTACAAGGCTTTCCTTAAAACAAAAGAACAAGACCCACAAATGGAAGAAAATACAGTCAAGCAATGTGCATAATCACTTTTATTCTGTAAAACTTAATATTAGACCATGTAGATTGTAACACCAATACCTCTGTAACTGCTTATAGCTGGCTAACAGCACTCATTAAAAAGCTTCACATTTAGCTGGAACAATGAAACTTGTGTAATACAGTTGTAGTGAATATCATGTGAAGAGTTAAGAAGTCTTTGGAAAGCATGAGTGAACAAAATCTTTAAGTTCAGGGAATAAAGAGGAAACTTTAGCTCGGTAGGTTCCTTCCAGGAATTGAAAGAGAGGGCACTAAGTCATTAATTGTGTCTACATATCAGTGCAAGTCTTAGGTCGCTCATCACTGACTTCCAGTGTCTTGAAAATGGTACATAAAACCTCCTTTGGACAACTTGTGAAAAGCAGTGATTGTTGGCTTGACCCGGCTGTCATGATGGATTGGTTGGACAAACGAGAAAGGCATAAAGCTGATGAAATTTCAACGAAACTGACACTAATTTGGCAGTGCGGAGACTTTATAAATGGTCAATTTCATAATATTTCTTTTCTTTTTCTGACGCTCACACTGCAGTAACCATAAGCTCACCATAAAAGTAAAATCAAAAACTGACCAACTTTGAGTTTAGTTTTCCTTTCCATGTGGCAGAAAAGGTTTGTGCCATTTTGTGGAGCTGTAATCTGAAAAAAGTTTGATACCAATTGAGAAATGGAAAAATAATGTATAGTTGTCGTACATAAGAAGAAAAAAGTCACTTCAGGGAGAACTGAGGTTAGTGTCGCAGAGAATGTTGGTTTGAAAACGCTGAGGAGTCGTTTTTTTTTTTCTCGTCAGATGTTCATCTGCACTTTGAGGACCGAATCGCCGAGTTCTTTGGCATGGAGACGGGAATTCTATATTCATACGGCTTCTCCACGGTAGCCAGTTGCATCCCTGCCTACTCCAAGAGGGGAGATATCATCTTCTGGTGAGAAAACAAATTAAGGCCGTGTCCGAAACGGGCTTCCAGAGCTACGGCTAGGTCTATTGTCTGCGCGTCTCCATGGACTTTCAATGGAGTGAAGACCTAGACCTAGCTCTAGACAACGGATTCGGATGCAGCCTTATTTTGAAAATGGATTTCGTCTTTATTTGTAACTTGGCCGGGGGACCTCTGGCATATGTCATGACTGACATCTCATCTTTCATGCTCTCAACAAGCCTGATGGAAGAATGCTGCCATTGTGACCAAAACCCTACCCGTTTGGCCTTTCGCACACTTACAATTTGTTGATATCTCAAGACCCCAAATATCTTTGCAGTTCAAGTTGCATGTAGTGAATATTAATTCGTAAAATAACAGTTAATGAATAAAAGCACCACCAGTCATGTTTGCTAGTGTGGTCCAGTTGGTAACGTGGGCATTTTAGGGCGTTCATCATCAAGACATTTTTCAATCTTCTTTTTTTTTTCCACATAAAATAAGTGTCGATTTAGATGTAACACTTCTGTCTTTTCTTTCTGTCCAGTGACGAAGGTGTCTGCTTTGCTGTGCAGATGGGCTTGCTAGCCTCACGCAGCCAGATCAAATTCTTCAAGCACAATGACATGGAGGACCTAGAGCGACTCCTCGAGGAACAAGTAATTGAAGATAAAAAAGTAAGACACGCCCGTCCCCTGATCCAAGAAATTCAGACTCTCCGTATTGTGTGTGAGGAATCCCAAAATGAACTTTTGCCTTTCCAACCCTCATACACAAATTGCGTGATCAGTAACTGCGTCCAAAAGACGCCTGGTACCCAGTGTGCACCGTTGTGCATTCACTCCATTGTCTTGCCATCAGACCACTGCATGTTCAGCCTGCTCAAATAGTTGGGCCTGCTACAGCCTTGTCTTCGGCTTCAATCAAAAATAACTTCCCTGCCAGGTGCACATTGTGGGAGAAGGTCTCCGTGAGAAAAGTGAGTTGAGACCTGAGGCTCAGCTGTTGAAGTAATCAGGAAAATTTGGCCTCCTGAAAATTTTGGAGAATTTAACCATTAAACAGTTAAGAAATTGGGCCTAATTTCAAATCTGCCCCATCTCTGTTTGTTTTATCCCTCTTGATAAATTCTTTCCTAAAATTGTGTCCAAATGCCTCCAACTATACTTATTTTCCCAACAACAAAAGAAACACACTGGGCAAAATTAATCTTGCTATATTAGTCTAATTATTTACGACTTCTTCGATACTGGTAGTTTCACTGTCCACATTAAATTAGCTTTTAAATTACTCGTGTATTGTTCCTTCTTTGTTCTTCTCTTGTTATCAGTAAATTTTAGTTGTTGAATTCCACTTTCTCAAAATTTTAAAGATTCACAAAATTTAACACAAGGGTTTTTTTTATAACTGGGCAGAGCGGGTGTATTAAGGATATAGCAGCCCATTGTCAGTTGCCGGTTGATTATTGGAAGCACCGCCTTCTAGGTTGGTTGTCCTACAGCTGTGCAGCTCCAGTACCCCTCTCCAGTACCCCTCTCCAGTACCCCTCTCCAGTACCCCTCTCCAGTACCCCTCTCCAGTACCCCTCTCCAGTACCCCTCTCCAGTACCCCTCTCCAGTAACTCCTCTCCAGTACCCCTCT